GTTTTTCCTGGCCAAGGACAGGTTCCTTGAACACAACATGAGCGTAACGTGTCTTCACGTGGTATATGTCTCGTCTGAAAGGAGTGCTGACGGAGAGCACCGGAACGCCGCTCCAGCTCTTCAAATATTGCAGTACCCATAAGGAGCCGTACACATGCCGCAGTGTTTGCGTGGCTGTGTCTTTAGTTGTAAGCACAGTGGCGATCTGTTGTTATTAGCATCTGGTTAGCTAGCTATGCTAACGAATTTAAAGAGCTTTTCTACAACCGGTGGAAGAGAGCTCTCTCCTGAGAGGCTCAAATAACCTCAGCTCAGTGAGGTTAAGGCACACCTTGATATGATCATTATAGTTATTAATGAGACTAAATAAAAAATAGGTATAAAATACTATGACAGTAACAAAAAAGTTGTTAAAAATAACAAGAATAGAGTTTAAAAGGGCAGTGATTTGTAAAATATCCCAATAGAAAAATCTGCTTACAGTTCTGTCTCATATGGGTGTTGAAAGATGTATCCATAGATCTCCTAATGTTGCTCTCAAAGTGCACCAGACTGATGCTTTCAACTTCAATATTTAAAAAATAAATCTTCCCGGGGGAGCATGCCCCCGGACCCCCCTAGAGGAGGTTAGGTCCCCCCCACCCACTTAAATCATGTTCACATGGATAGGATACTAAATACATTTGCACACATCTTGTGTCCACATCTTTCTGTTTTGGTGGTCATGCCACACCGTGCACGTGCATGCATACGTGAGTCATGGTGAGATATCTGGATTAAGAGGTTGCCTTTTCTTTGCACAGCATGAAAGAAAGGCCAAATGAATGGGCTGTGATTTTAGTTTTTTAAGCAGAGGTTGAGTTCAATCATTTGTACGACCCTCGGAGGATGTTGTAAAAATTGAAAGGAAAAAGGTTCCCCACCCCTGCTGTAAATAATAATAAAAACCCTTGATTTTTAACTTAACATCTCTGTCTCCTATTGATCTGAGTATATTATAAAGAATAGCAGTTAATTGAAGCATTATAACACAGGCCTTTGTCAGATGGTATATTACGCTGTTTTTTTCTGCTTCGAATAGTTCTCTCTTTTTTCACCATACCTGTGTTTGCATCACTGTAACCATGAGCACCTGCATGTGTATGAGAATGGCCCTGACTCCATGTCGGCCCAGATTTACAAACTCCTGGCAGGACAAGCTCCAGCTCAATTCGCGCACTGAATTTAAAAAAAGTGAGTGAGGGTCTGCAATATAAGAGGGAAAGAAAGAGAAACTTTAAAACTGTTCAATTGTTATGATGTGTAAAGACTGATATTGTTCTATAATCGTCTGAAACTGTTAAGTCATGATGTGAAACGGTTAACAAAGAAAAAGGGAAACTCAAGCTGCTGCTACACTTTATTTTATTTATCTAAAATTAAGCACTTTTAAGATGCACACATTTTCAAAAGCTATTTTATTTATTTCTCCTATTTTATTTTTAAATGCAGCCCGAGAGGAACATTACACATATCCACAGTATTTACTGTATATCTGTATAGTTCAATGTTCATTGACAATAAATATGTTGTTTTTGAATTGTACTTTCTTATTTGATTGGCAGTCAGTTGTTGATGACATGCAGACGTTGATAAAAGCTACAGGTCACTTCAATACATATCACACTAATTCATGAAGCAAGTTAGACAGTTTGATGTTTCCGGGACCTTTGCATGGGGACATTTTCACTAACTGGACCTCGTTGAATTTTAGTTGAATACCCCTGCTCTATGGGCATAAGTTACTGGATGATGTGGGCACCTTTTGTACCTCCAATCGCTTCATTGTTTGCTTCATGCGCCACTGAGCAACTTTTCATAGGAATAAACGGCCCTCCAACGCTGTATCCAGTGCTCTTTATAGATCCATGGGCAGCACCATGACTGTGACCAGAAATGTAGAAATAGATATTTTTACATTTAATTTCGCAAAGAAAATAAGTGGTTTTGAATGACCACTTTGGCACATGGTGAATGTGTTATGGCGCATTTCCACTACAGTGCGGAGCTCGCTTTAAGCGTGCCGTGCCCGGCCCGTTTTTGGTTGCGTTTCCACTTGGCGTAGTTCCGGCTCACAACAACGGGCCTCCAGACATAAATAAACCAGCGACTGTATTCGCCATGACACAGACAGTCTGTGGTTTGTACTTGTTTAACTTTTGTCTAGTTTCTAAATAGATATGAGGAGCTGTGAGCTCTGAGAGCTAACAGCTAACGGCTGATGTTGGTTTTGTGTTTCGTATTGAAGATGACGTCACGGCTCCGCCTACACCTGCGTTACTATAGTTACTACCCCAGTTACTAAACTGTAATGGAAACGCAGCATAAAGTGAGCCAGTCTAAACAAGGCCTAACGAGGTCTAGCCATACCAAGCGAGGCCCTGTAGTGGAAATGCGCCTTTAGATTGCAAGATCAACTAGATGGCCAGCAGCACATAGCTCTGTTAATGCTGATTCCACAAGTAAAAAATAATATGTATATCCAACCCGTTATTTCAATCTGCTCCAAAATGTAATGGGTTCCTTCTTGGCACACGCTCCACCAGGTTTAATGAATGAGTACCCAACAACCAATCAGAAATCATCACCTGTTTTGCAACAATAGTTATGCGATAGGAAAAACAAACACTTTAAGAAGTGCATTGGCAGGGCAGTCTCTCATGTTCTGCACCTTCAGTGCACACGATGCTGTCTGAGATATCTTTGACACGTTTAATCTGGGTTTTTCAGCGCCTTTCTGGAGCGTCCTCCGGCTGCAGGTCAAGGCTGTGTGAGTCAGAGAGCAGGAGACAGCAGACAGATACCGAACCGTTTATCTCTTCTCAATCGTCTTACCACCTTATCTTTACTGCCCTGTTTTTCTGGGGGATTGCAGCTAAAACGCAGTCATTAAGTTAAATGACCTGCACAAACATGTGGGAAATAAGCCAGTATGTGTGATTGCTGCACAACAAAATAGGAGAATGGCCAGAGGATGTTTAGGCATTAATGATAGGGAAATAAAATATTGCAAACACACTTGAACAGGGGAGGACGGAGTGCCAGAGCTTCATACTAATTCTTCTCAGATCTTGTCGTGCCAAAACTTGATCTGACGGTTAATCAGGTTTTATGTCAGCGTACAGTGAGCAACACAGCTGTAAGGGTAGTCCAGAAGGGGATTTCAAACAATTACATAAATATGAATTAAAATATGAATTCTACAGTAAATAAAACAGTTTTTATTGTATGAAAAATATAATTGAATGTAATATTGTGTATGCATTGACTACTCTTTGTAAACTAGACTGCAACATTACATTTAAATAAATAAATCAAGGCTTTATTGAGAACAGTCAGTCCCATATTGAGTATTAAAGGGATTTCCCTCAGTGTCATATTGAATTTTCATTAAGTTTGGGTATTTTATTGTATGTAATAAATGTAATGTGGGCCAAGCTTTATAGCATATTTAATTAGACCCTGCCTGCCTTGTAAACATCGACATAGACCGTTTTTAATTCATCTTTCTGTTACAAATTTCACACAAACAATTCAAACAGTATTGCCAAAGTAAAATATGAAAAGTAAATTGACTCATAACAAATACAGTAATATATGGATAAGAGACTTTATTTGAGATATCATTTGGATTGATGATTAACAGTATTATTTCTAACAGCAGTTCCACATGGATGAAGCTACTGTAATGTAAAGTGCCAGAGAGATTTGCTGGAGATGAGAGCAGAGGGAAGAGGTTAAGACTTAACGAGGAAACATTTAGCCAATATCTAACCCAGGCCTCACACACAGACACACACACACACATGTGGGTTTGTGTTACATGACTGTTTGAGTGGTGCTCCTATTGATACAGATGTATTGGTCATTAAGTCAGTTAGGTTTGACGTCTCAGCTCGGCGGCAGCCAAAGAAAAGAAAATCAGCGCTGTCTCACAGAAATGTTCCACTCAGTATGGGCAGAGAGAACCGCACAGATTTCAGATTATAGATCTGTGTGTGTGTGTGTGTGTGTTGTGTGTGTGGTGTGTGTGTGTGTGTGTGTGTGTGTGTGTGTGTGTGGTGTGTGTGTGTGTGTGTGTGTGTGTGTCTAATCGTCCATGGGGCAACGAGGGGAGTGTGTCTTTCTGCCTGTGTTTGAGTGCTTGACTGATATTGGATTTAAAAGTGTTTCATCTTTTCCTTATGTCCATCTTTCTCATCTTAAAGGAACAACATGAAAACATGGAATTTAAAGGACTAGTTCTACATTTTAAGGAAATGATTAGGCTTGTTTGTGTTCTTCCCTGTAATTAGATGAGAAGATAGATATCACATCATTAAATATGAAGCTGCTGCCAGTTAGCTTAGCATAGCATAAAAGTGGAAACAAGGGTAAACAGCTCTTCTAGCTCTGTCTAATGCTAATTAAATCCGCCTATCAGCCCCTTGAAAAGCTCGCTAGTTCACTGATCAATTGCATTTATTTAATTTGTCAAAAACCCAATTATAAAACAATGAATGCACTTTTCTAAGGAGAGATATGTGAAGAGTAGTGTGTTACGTAACCCCACATGGCATCTTGATTTTAGATGGATAGGTACTTTATTGATCCCAAATTTGGAAATTATTTATTTGCAGCAGCAAAGTGTACAGACATTAACATCTTCAAATCTTTCAAGGTGGAAAACTCTATTTAAACTCTGTTAAAGCCTGTGAATGTGTGAGCTTAAACACGATACACAGATTCTGGTACCTGTGGACGGATTAAAGCTAGTTGTTTCTCTCTATTTCCAGTCCTCAGGCTAAGCTAAAATAAGCTAACCAGCTAGCTTACTCTGAGCAAGAAAGCAGAAGGCTGTATTTCTCCAAAATGTCCAGCTATTCTTTTGAATTCCTTGTTATTATGTTGGCAATATTGGTAACACATGGTTTACAACATGTCTAAATCTCCCGTGTGTGTGTGTGTTTCTTCTCTCTCAGATGGAGGCGGAGTTAGAGCAGTGTGAGAGGGAGGGGGCGGAGCTTCAGGACTACGCCAATCAGGTCCTGCAGCAGATCGCCGAACGATGCCCCGACATTCTGGAACAAGTGGTGAACGCTCTAGAGGACAGCTGCTGACACATGAACACACACACACACACTTATCCACACACAGAAAAGCTTGTCCATTAGTTAGCGTGAAAATCAAGGAAACACACACATAAAAAACATCAGGGGTCTCCAGCTAGCCCCCGTCATCTCCTGGTACACACATAAAAAGGACGAAGACTTTTTCTTCCCCCACACTTCAATTTTCAGAGGCACAGAAAGGAGATTCAAAAATAAAAAATCCTTTCTGAAAAATATTCTTCCACTGTGTCTTCAGCCGCTCTCACTTCAAACAAACAGTGCCGGCTGAGGGAATGATGTTCAGTAAACACAGAGCTGTGTTGGCATGCTAGTTAATAAGAATTGATGATTGAGACTTTTAACACATTCATTTCCTAACATCTCGGAAACAGAAGGAGCCTCACTGCACCCCCCCATGTGTGACACTTCACAGCGGCCATCTTGTGTCTTTCCAGGCAATCAGCAGACTTGTAATTGTGACTTGATGTATTTTATGGGGGGGGGGGAGGATTAAAAAGGGTGAGAGTGAGTGAAGCTTGCCAGGTTGTGTCTGATGCCAGACTTACACGCTGTTACCACATTGTGATTTGATTGGTTACAGATACAAAATAGTTTATTTCAACCGCCTTTGATTCTTTACATCATTTGCTGCTATCTTTTTAACATTAAGCTTCTATTTCTACCATGTCTCTTTTTTTCTGATGAAATGTCTAAACTTCTTTCTGCAGTAATCTCTAGGGAGTTGAGCATTTGAATTAACAGGAGCTTTCATCATGGGGACGTGACACTTTCATTTTTTCCCACCATTGTTGATGAAAGGCACAAACTACAATAACTCTCGCAATACTCCCTTTATTAAAACACACCAGTAGATGTTTGAGTTTCTTTTGAACCTAAGAAAGCTATGCTGGAAGTCGGTTGTGTTCAGAAAACCCCTCACTTACCGTGTAGTGACAATCCCTTTAGAGTTAACATGAGGAGACTTCATTGCCCTTATCAAAGCATTTTTTTTTTCTTGGGAGGTAGAGAATATAAAATAATTGCTATATATTTTTTTGCTTTTGGTAATATATATACAAATCTTGTTTAATTGAAAAAGTTGTCATGTATTGGTTGGTATGTTACATAATGTGTCAAACGTTGTTTTCTGTGTTTGCAAGTCACCACAGAAGTGTTCCAGAGCAGGAGACTGTTATTAGGGACGTGTTGCACCTACATGAGGCTCTGTGTCCACCGGGAACATTGTTTATCTTGTTGTTGTTTACAGCCGAAATGACACTCTGACGCATGTTTCCCACACGCTGACAGCCTTCACAGGATGTAAACACTAACATCACCGAGCACTAGACAGGTTCCACTCGTTTCATACTATACTGTAGTCGTGCTGAAGGCCACATGCAACGGGTTTAGCGCTGCTCCATAAAAGAAATACCTGGTGGAGACAAAGCCTAAAGATGGGGATTTAAAATGCATACGCAATTCTGAGTTTACACCTTTGTGAGGCTCTGAAGAAGCGTTTAAGCTGTGTATTTAAAAAGGCTGAGAGTCACATGGGTGTAAATGAGGAGTTTCATTCAAAAATATCCTTAATACGGAAGTCTCAGTGTTTGCCGCAGGTTCCTTAAATGTCACCAGTTTGAATTTGCTAAAATCTTCAATAACTTATTTTGGAATGAAACTCCATCAGATATGAGCTTCTGTTGTAAATCCAGTATTTTGTTTTATACTGAATATGTAATGAAACGGTGATGGCTGGGACTCTGTTGGAGATTGAGAATGAGAGAATGGAATAAAAAATGGATTTATCTTTTATTGTGAAAGGATTCTGTCTGTCATTTCTATATCTCAGTCAAATGTGAGAGCTGCTTCCTTTTGACCTGGGACCCCTCCTCACAGGTTGTATAGCCTCAGTGAGGACGTGAATTATACATTTTAATCTGATTTTTCTCTCACATATTGTTTCTTTTGAAGGATCTTTATACACTTTTAAGAGGTGAACGTTTTCAGCTTTTCATGAGACAATGAGGTTAGAGCATCTTCCCTTTTCTTTCATTTCCTTACTTTTTTCCGACCTCTCCCTCCCCTCCTTCCTTTTGCCTCACTTGGATTCTCTCTCTCGCCCTCTCTAAAATCGTCTTCTTATCTTGTCACTTAGTGCTTTATTTTCCTATCCGCCCACAATAATGACATTATTCCACAGCCCAGGGCCTCATCCTGTCCCAGTTCTTCACACACACACAGAGAGAAGCCATACCATTACTATTGTCTTAAATGTCCAACAACTTTATCCAAAATCACACTATTTCCAATAGCATGGACTCAAATGAATAGTGTGGACGGTTGAACTAAACAGATTCTGGTGAGGAATGATTTAAATTGGCTTGGGGTTTTCCCTCTCCTGTAGTGTGTTATGTCGTTTTCTGTAAAATCCTTGTTATCCCAGAGGGAGTTTCTCTCCCACTCCCCCCTGAAACGCCTCCATTGGACTCCTTTGTTTGATTCAGGAACATAGTGACATCACTCTGTAACACTCTGTGCTTCTATTGGCTCATGCTCCAACACATGTTACGTGATAGGCTAAGGGGCGGGACAGCTCTAAACGATTGACGCAACAGAGCCGGCCAGCTAACCAATCAGAGCAGACTGGGCTCTGGTTTCAGACAGAGGGTGGAAAGAAGTGCTGCAGCACAGGCAGTATGAGAACAATAAAGTGCAAACACACAACTAGAACACCTGTTCAACAGAGCTGCCCAGCTTTAGACCTTGAACCTCGACCCTGAGCCGACCTTTGTCTCAAAAAAGTTTAACCCGTATTATTTTATGCTAATTTGTAGGCTATAGCACACTTAATTTATAATCAGTGTACTCATGTTGTGCGTTTAATTATGTAAAGTGCAGTGTCAATTAAGTGACAATTGCTAATCATGTCAATAAGAGATGTGTTGGAGACTTTGATACTTGTTTCATAACATATACAAAATAAAAGGGCACTAATAGAGCACACCAATCAGGGTAACAACTCAGTATGTTCATCTATGTACGGATGTCTTTTGAAATTGTTTTAACGTTTATTTTTATGTTTGGAGTTGGTTCCCTCCCATATGCATGCACACACACACCACCTTCCTCTGCAGAGATTCATTACGATAAGATCTGCTGATAATGGTGGTTTACAGCAGCTGTTACTCACACTGAGTCGTTTTTCGTAAATGTCCCCTCTGTGTAATAAAGCTATTCTGATTGTGATTACACCAGAAACACAGACGTCCTTGAGGTTCTGTTGGGGCATGTCCATAATGTACATCCCTAATGGAGGACCAGGACACAGGAGGAGAAATAAAACACTGAGTGACTGCAGAGGAAGTAGGGGGCTTGCGTTGGCTCTGGGTCGATGTGGTTTCAATCATCACACATCTCATCACACGTGACTGCAAAGAAAAGAAAGAGTGTGATGGAGAGAAAGAGAAAACAGAGAGAGGGAGAGCGGAGACCAAAACAAACAGCAGCTCGACTTCAAACACTCTCAGCCTCTATCACATGTTTTCAGGCTTAATAATGAAAGCTTTTAGTTGTGCTTTGAAGGCATTACACGTGTTGCTTGTTGGTTTTGTATGTTTGCTTTTTGCATACATTATTTTCTCCAATAAGTGGTTTGTAAAGTAAATGAATTACTGACCTGTACGTGGGATGAAGATCCAGCAACACTGAGGACAGCTTCCTTATCTTCAGTTCCTCCTCCGTCTGCGCATTCCTCTCACTTTTATTGCTTTCAGAGAAAACTTCTCTGCTAGCTGCTAAGACCCAACCTCTGATAGGGACTGAGAGATCTAGGGTCAGTGAGTAATGAGGGAATCGCTGGGTAATGCAACCAAAGCCAGCATTGATTCAACATGGCAGCCTTCCTGAGCAAAGTGACTTCTGATCTCCACATGGGGGCGAGGGTTCAAATCCAGTATTTTACCTGGAGGGTACATCTCTTTTGTTTAGCGATACCGGTACCTCTTATTTTGTTTCGATTGCACACAGACTGAATAAAATCATGAGAACATATAAAACAGAATTACTCTGATGTGTGATCTGTCTTTGACTGAAAACAATTATTTTCTCAAACCAAATGTTGCTTTTGGGGTTGGTATAGGCCTTGTTCTTGTTATGAACAGCATCCTCCATTCTCTGTCACTGCCTTACATTTCAGTTTGCAAGTCACTGATGAAGTCTAAATTGAATAATAATTTAATGTGTTTTACCTGCAGGCTAGGTTTTCCTTGTATGGCTCCTTAAAAGAGGTCATCAATATTATTATTATTATTATTATTATTATTATTACTATAATTTAGTAAATTTACAAATACTATCACTCCAGAGGCCTGTACTACGAAGCTGAGGCCTGTACTACAAAGCAGGATTTTCGCTTAGCGAGGTAACTTCAGGGAAAACTCTGGGTTTCCGGTCCTACGACGCTGGTTCTCTTTTTAGCAGGCTAGATCTCCATGGTAACTTATGCTTAGCGGCTAACCTGGTCGGGACCAGGTTAGGTTGCAGGCTAAGAGCTCAACTCAGTGAAAGCACTGCCTGCTGACCAACAGAAAAGCTGCCGTTGCAGGAAAGACGGCCGGCAAAAATCACCGACTGTGTGAACGTGAACATTAATAGAATATCACCTTCCATCTTCAGAGCAATCTGACTATTATAACATTAGCGTTAAGAAAGCTTAATAAAATCGATGTGTCCCATTATCATTAATATCACATCATAATGTATCATATATTTCCTTATCTGAGTCAGCTGAGCCGTATCTGGCCGTGCAACACTCACAGTGTCACATACTGTATGCAGAAGTATTATTTTAAGCAACACATTAAGTTGAGGAAACACTCGAGTCAAATGTAATTAAAGTCAGATCGTGTTTTAGACGGGGCAGTGATATCATAAACCTGTTAATGTACGCATTCAAACACTTTTTCTGTTCCCAGCTGTATTCACCTTGCAGGTGCAGCTATGTGGCTTTGATCCTGGATAAAGTGTTTAAGTCATGGATGTTTAAAGTTTAACTTCTTCATATTTGACTAATATTATAGTTGACTTTTTCTTCAGGAAGTATGACGCTGCGCTGTCAGTACGCTTCTCCATGTTTGTGATTGGTCGAATGCTCCAGAGATACCACCCCTTTCATGTGAACGCGCACCTAACTAGATAGGACACGGCTGGCTTGAGCGATCGAGTTGATAGCCAGCGTCGTAGGACAGTTTAGCGAGAGCGGGTTTATTTTGGATTAAGTCAACCGGATAACTCAAAACATATCCAGGATATGTTGAACTAGATTCGTAGTTTAGGCCCCTGGTCCGGGGCAGGTTAGCCGCTCAGCATAAGTTACCATGGAGATCTAGCCTTGGTGGAAGTGAACCAGCGTCGTAGGACCGGAAACCCCGAGTTTTCCCGGAAGTTAACCGGCTAAGCGAAAATTCTGCTTTGTAGTACAGGCCTCTGGAGAGGAAAAAGTTGCCGCCCACTACATGCCATGAATAGCCCGGCTAGCTCAGTCGGTAGAGCATGAGACTCTTAATCTCAGGGTCGTGGGTTCGAGCCCCACGTTGGGCTGAGACATTTTATGGTGTATTAATCCTAGATCTTCAGATATGTTGTTTCGGAACCTTGAACCTTTTATGGAGGACGGAACATGACATAACAACAAGTATAAATAAATAAATGTAAGGAATAAATACGGAAATAAATACAGGAATAAATGAATACAGGAATAAATACATGTGGAAATAAATACATAAATAAATGTGGAAATAAATACACAAATAAATACAATTATAATAAATAAATGCATAAATAAAGATGGAAATAAATGAATGTATAAATACATACAACTTGAGAATTAAACACAACACACATTATTATAAATCTTTAATATATTTCTACATTTACGTTCACTTACATTTATTTATGTATTTCTGTGTCAATATGCTAATGAGGTGGGCGGTCCTAACCTCAGTCTGAAGCAGGATTGGTTACAGGAGTGTGATCATTCATTCATCAGACTTTAAGGTCTACCTAAATATAAGATACTTACACTTTTCAATCTGGTCCGCATCCCGCGGAAGGTCTACAAGCTACAGCATAAGTTGTAAAATACTCAATAAGCACCGTAACTTTCATGATACGCATTTCTCGGTCACGATAGGTTGTTTCCGTGAACTGTAAATGTTGCGGCCACAAGGTATTGTGGGAAATCATTTTTTCCTTTCCTTTTGTAAAGCAAGATCCAGTGTTTCCTAAACTAAAGGAGGTTATAAAGGAAGTTTCAAAGCTCCTTTCCTATCATCTAGAGCAGTGGTTCTCAACTGGTGGGTCGCGGACCCCCTTCGAGTGGGTCGCAGATGTCAGTGAAGAAAAAAAATAAGTTTAATAAAAAAAATTCAAACTTTTATTTTGAAGGCCCGATTTTCTAACGCTGTGCATGCAGTAGGTGTTGGACTGGAAGTACCGGAGACCATAAACGGTTTTGAAACTTCTGTCACGTAGTGATCATCTTCTCAATAAAACATTTTTTTTTCGAGTCTTCTGGCCAATCAGAATCAAGATTGTTGCCGGAAGTCCCCACGGAGAATAACTTTGCGGTATAACTATTCTTTATACATCCATGGGTACAACTTCAAATAGAAATGAACACGTAATGAAATATGACCCCCGGTTTGATGATTGACAGGTCACAGAACAATGGGAGCTATCTACCCTTACCCACAATTTAGTAGTAATTCACACAAACTATCTCCTCTTTGCTCTTCTCTCTGTGAGGAGGAGAAGGAAGCAG